TTTTGTGGTCTACAAGTATGTATTTGATGCCTTATGACTAGGTCATAAAGTTCTGGTTCTTGTTCAGGGTCAGGAACATCTGCACGAATAATATTTTTTGCTATAAGAGTGGGAATATCTAATGATAACCATCCATGTTATACCATGGGTATGGATAGCACCACGATTTTGAAATTCATCTCTTTCCCAAGAATGAAGCCATTTACCCCAGCCAACAAGAGCAGGGTTTTTCCAGAGATATTTCTCAATAGTTTGGAGACGATTTTGATAGTGTAAATATGCATGCAATGGTCTGTTAGATGGTAGTTGATCACGGAAATCAGTCTTTGATAAAATTATTTCAGATGCCTCCAGTGTCCCTCAGCCATGGTTGTAGTATACAAAATTTGTGGTAGTCCAAAAGATTGGATCATAGTGTTTACTTGAAGTCCTTTTTGGTGAAAGTATGTTTGTCCAGTTCTTACAAAGGATGGTAATGTTGTAGTTATATTTTCATTTATTATTGGCCTCCCATTGTATACACTTTGGGAAATAAGATCAGCACCTGTAGGATGCAAATCACGATCAGCATTTTTTTGCTTAAGCAACCGATTATGATATTGGTGGTTTCTAAGTTTTTCAAGATTGGTATAAGACCAAAATGGCCAGTACCAGTCTTCTCGAAATTTTGGATCAGGACACAATAAGCATAATTTAATCCATTTATGATAGGTATCAAGAAAAGGTTGCTTAGGTAAATTTTGTATATAATACTTATAATGTCCACGTCCATAAAGAAAAGGATGTGGGAAGATTAACGCTTCAAGACCAGGATCTGCGTAAGAAATAGCATATTCAGTGCCATCAGTGGTTCTGACAGAGCCTGCAATTAAACGGTTATAATGAAAGTGTTCATTATGAATTTCTGGATTTAAATCAAATGGGGGTACAACAACAGCTGATGGTCGAAGTGGTTGAACGTTATTGTTGGCTGAATTGGTTGATACTGGAGTTACAAGAGTAGCAGTTGGAAATGTGAAAGTTGATTGAGATTGAGCTTGCGATTGAAACAGAGCATATCCTTTACTACTAATGACAGGTAATAACCACTGAGTTGCATACGGGAGCGTATGATGAAACCACGTTGGTTCATTATTTTCAGTAAAAATTGCACCCATATCTCCAGTGTAAAGAGTATGAGCGCGTATGTTACGAGATAAGTTAAATGTGCCAGAAAGATGTCGGAATGTCGTAAACGGATTAGAGTTTTCTGAACGTCCGAGTGAACAATTTAGATGGATAGGAGACAGCCAACGACGGTGAAACATTGGTACAGAAGATATTTCTGTCGGAATTGGATCTAATTGAGGAGGAAACCGTCGCGTCGTTTTCTAGTATTAACGCACGTTTTACAACAGGCAATCTTGTGAGCGTCATTTGGGTGATGAAACAGACCAATTTGTGG